ACACACACACACACACACACACACACACACACACACACACACACACAATCTTCCTGAGTTCAAATATGGCCGCAGGCACTTACTAGCTGTATGACCCTGGGCAAGTCATTTCACCCTGTTTGCCTCAGTTTCCTCATCTGCAAAATGAGCTGGAGAAGGAAATGGCAAACCACTCCAGCATCTCTGGCAAGAAAACCCCAAATGGGGTCATGAGGAGCCAGATATGACTGAAAATTCAACAACATATATATGTATGTATATACTCCCCCTGTGTGTGTGTGTGTGTGTGTGTGTGTGTGTGTAGATAGTTTTGCAAAGCCGAAAAGAAATAATTGTAAAATGCTCAGCATAGGTCCTGGTGTTTAATAAATGCTTATTTCCCTCTCCAGGAACTCCAGCATCTGAAAAAGCAGCATCAGAATCTCAGAGTCCTACAGTTGGGTGAGTGTCTGGGTTAGGAATGAGGGTCACAGAAGAGGTCCCCCATGGTTGGGCACCCTGGCTCAAGTTCCAGTAAAGTACCACAGGCCCTCCCAACATAATGTCTGACTGCCTTTACGTGTTCTGTCTGCTGTCCTATAGTTTTACTGCTTGACTATGTCTCCCCAGCTGTCCACAGCATGGATTCCCCCAGGCCCACTGCCTGGCTTCAATTCCCCTGCCTGGGCTGTTTTAATCTCCACTCCCTGGATTTCTCTAGCTCCCCAACAATTTCGCTTGGTCAACTGCCCCCTTGCTCAGTGAACACTGCCTTCCCTTGAATCCCCTCCTCCATCCTTCTTCCTCTGCTCCCCTCTCCACCCTAGACATCCTGTGTGAAAACAGCATCAAGAAGGCCACACAAGAAACGGAGGCCTTGGTGGGGGAACAGGGCCTGAACTGCCTCATCAACAATGCAGGCATCAACAGGGTTGCCACCCTGGACAGCGTCACGGCCCAGGATATGCTAGACCTCTATGAGACCAACACGGTGGCCCAACTCATGGTCAGCAAGGTGAGGCAGACCGGGCCCCTGGGTCAGGCAGGGCAGGACAGAGAGTTAGGCGGCTGCCCCTTCATTTAATCATTTATTCAGCCAGTGTTTGTTAAGCAAATGTGTCAGGCACACCGAGGTTATGGTGCCCTTCCTTCCAAGAGTTTACATTCTGTGTGGCGGAGGGCAACGGGTCACACAGATAAATAAGTACAAAATATACACAAAGGAGTTTCCAGGGAGGAGGTGGTGCTTGAGCTGAGCCTCGAAGGAAGGGGTAGAAGTGAGGAAGGATGGCATTGTAGGCATGGCATCAGCCTATGCAAAGTCTCAGAGGTGGGAAATGGAATGGTATAGGTGAGGACAGGAAGCAGGCCAGCTTGGCTGGAACACAGACTGCTTGGGGTAGAGTAAGTCTCAATAAACCTAGAAAAGTTGGCCAGAGCCATGTTGTGAAGGGCTTTAAATACTGATCAGAAGTTGTTACTTCATCTTAGAGGCAGTCAGGAGCAATGGATGCTTCTTGAGCTGGGGGGTGCTCAAGGGAGGGCAAGTTGCTTCATCTGTGTCTACCTCTGTTTCCTCAATTGTAAAGTGGGGATAATACAGCACCTCCCTTCCAGGGTAATTGTGAGGGTCAAATGAGATAATATTTGTAAAGTGCTTACAGTAGACGCTTGATAAATGCTTATTCCCTTCCTTCCTACAACTTTTACGGGCCAGTGCAGTATACTAGCTAGAACCACTGGCCTTAGAGTCCTTAGAATAAGTTTCTCTAAGGCCTTCTCAGACAAGTTAGGCCTTAGAATAAGTTTCTTTTTAGGAAGAAATTTCTCCAAGCCTCAGTTTCCTCATCTGAAAATTGAGAGAGGAGTTAGACTAGATTACCTTTGGGGTCCTTCTAGCTCTAAATCTGTATTTGTGTCATCTCTAAATTGTTGTTCAGCCATTTTTCAGTCATGTCTAACTCTCTGTGACCTCATTTAGGGTTTTCTTGGCAATATTTTCTTCTCCAGCGCATTTTACAGATGAGGAAACCTGAGGTGAACAGAGTTAAGTGACTTGCCCAGGGTCACACTGCTAGTAAGTGTTGAACTCAAGTCTTCCTGACTCCAGGCCCAGAGCTCTACTCACTGTACCACCTAGCTGCCCCTATGATCTCCAAGGCAAAGGTTCAAATCCAGCCTCAGACACTTAGTTGTGTGACCCTGGGTTAACACATCATTAACTCATGGAGCTCCTAGACCAAGGGTTCTTAACTCCAGGTCTATGGACAAATTTCAGGCAGTTCATGAACTAGAATGGGGAAAAAACAATCATAACCTTATTTTCATTAACTCTGTATTTTTTTTTAAATGTACTTAAAAGCATGGTTCTGAGAAGAGCTCCATACTGACTGCCCATGGAGCCCAGGGCACAAATAGTGGTTACGATTGAACCCCTGACTTAGAGACTACTCATACCAGCCCCTTAATTTTGTAGATGAGGAAATGGAAACTCAGGATAGTGACTTACCCAAGGTCACATAGGCAGTAAATGGCCAGGATTTGAACTCAGGGTCTCCCTCCCAGGGTCCTTGTCAGATAATATTTTAAAGTATTTTGTAAACCTCAAAAAGCAATTAGCATGTTCCCTACTATTTTTAGTGGAACCCGTCATCATATATCATATTCTTCCCCTGAGTTGGGCCGTCTGCCTGGACTCTGTAAGAGGAAGGAGCTGCCTCTGAGGTGCTGGCTCAAAGGAGCCTGGTAGTGACCTAGAGACATTGTTGAGTCCGACTCTATGGGCTTCAATTTTCTCATTTTTAAAAAATTGAAAGCCTAAAGGCACATAGCCACTGAGGAATAAGAAGTAGGTCCACTCAAGAAGACCTGAGTTCAAATGCTTCCTCAGATACGTATTAGCTGTGTGACCCTGGGAAAGTCACTCTGCCTTGTTTGCCTCGGTTTCCTCATCTGTAAAATGAGCTGGAGAAAGAAATGGCAAACCACTCCAGTATCTCTGCCAAGAAAACCCCGAGTTGGGTCAAGAAGGGTCGGACACGACTGAAATCGGCTGAGCAACGGCAGGCATTCTGAGTGTTCACCCCTTCCCACCTCCCCAAGGCGTTTCTCCCCCTCCTGAGGAAGGCTGCGTACCAAGACGTCGTCATGGGCATTCACCGGGCCGCCATCATCAACGTGTCATCCCAAAGCGCCTCTATGCAGCTCTTCAGTCAGAACAAGAAATCCGAGGAAGTGTACCCGTATAGGATGGCCAAGGTAAGGGGGCCGGGGCTGGGCCTGTGGCAACACAGGGGCGCGGCAGGACCCAGAGCAAAGCGCTCTGACCTTGCAGTCCGGCAGTCCCACCTGGTTCAGCAGCCACAGTGGAGACTCCGCAGGGGCTGGCGGAGACCCCAGAAGCCTTGCACCTGCTGCTGCTCATGACTGGGGGGGTGGGGGCGGCTCTCCCTCATCACCTGTCTTCCTCTCAATTGTTCCTAACTCCCATCAATGCCCACTTTCTCAATTCCTTCAGGAGACTCTCCCTCTTGAAAGACTTTGTGCACACTTTGCATTTACTTCCTCGTATACCTGTTGTATTCGCCCTGGAGAGTGTAAACACCTCGAAAGTAGGGACTCAGCCAGACTAGCTGATAATTGGATGGAATTTGGAGTCAGGAAGACCTGAGTTCAAATCCCCACTTCCTACACTTACCGAGTCAAAGCCTAGCTCTGGCATTAGAGGACCTGGGTTCCAGTCTGTTACTCACTACCTCACTGACCATGGGCAAATCACCTCACCTTTCGTGCCATAGATGCACGTAAATAAGGCAAATAAGTCTCCGAGTACCCACCTCCCAAGGTGGTTGTGAGACTCAACTGAGATTAAAACCGTAAATCACAATGTAAATGTAATCCTGAATTTAGAGCTAGAAGAAAGGAAACAGTTATTAGGTACCTACTATATGCCAGCAGCTGTGCTAAACACGTTAAAAATATTATCTCACTTGATTCTCACAACAATCCTACAAAGTGCTGTTATCATACCCATTTTACAGTTGAGGAAACCGAGGCAGATAGAGGCTAAGCAGCTTGCTCAAAGTTGCACAGCTAGGAGGGTCTGAGGCTGGATTTGAACTCAGATCTTTCTAACTCCAGACATAGTGCTCTATTCACTGCACCACATAACTAATCTCACAGTCTATTGAGTTCAGTCCATTCATTTTGCAGATGAGGAGACTGAGGTCCAGGAAGGTTAGGTGATTTACCCAAGGTCACATAGGCCCTAAGCCTCAGTGGTGGGATTTGAACCCAGAGCTAAGGGGTTTGATTCCAGAGTTAAGACTTCACCATACCTCACGAACACTCATTCCTAATTCACTCTTCTTTTAGGGCTTAAAAACTGTAAAATCAATGTATATGTATAGCCTCTAACAGATTGCAACGTCTTAGGGAAGGGGGTGGGGAGGAAGGGAGAGAAAATTTAGAACTCAAAATCTTATGGAAGTGAATGTTGAAAACTAAAAATAAATAAATAAATAAATAAATAAATACTTTGATTTTTTAAAAAGGCAAAAAACAAAAACAAAAACAAAAAACCAACCCCAAACTCATCAACCTCCTTCAGATGGGGTCTGGATTATTTTTCTTTTCTTTTTTTTCCTATATCAAATGCTTTTTTCTATTTCTCTGTTTACTTTAATAACAATTAAATTTCATCAAGCATCCCAGTGAATTAAAAAGGATGACCTTCGATGTGATATTTCACACACATTCCACATATCTGTCAAATACCTATGGAAGAGAATCTACAAGCATACTCTATATGTCTCTAGGTCTTTTATTTTCACCTTAATGGACTGTATTTCTAATTATTGCTCCCTTTGTCCCAGATGTTGAATTTATTTTATTATGTGTGTATATTTTAAGTTATTGGTGCTTTTGAAAGCAACATAATTGCTTATCTCAGATTGATAACATGGGATAAAAAAAAGCCCACATTAGATAAAACATAGCAAAATATTGTCCTCCATTCACCAGAAACTTAAAATTTGAGGCAGACAATGAAATTCAAAGGGTAGGGAAACTGGCTGTCTTTGGAAACACAGTTCCTAGACATAAAAGATCATGAAACTATTAAAGGTCATAAAAGTTAATTATATAACTTATTCTCCTCTTACTCTTATGCCTTAAAATGTGTATTTGTGTGAAATTCAAACTCCCAAGATCTAAGTTGCCTTTATGATTAGAAGATGATAAAGATGAACAGTAGGGGTTTTAATTCTTCATCAAGTTACCTGCATCAAAACAGGGGTTGCTGGGGGCCATGGATACAAAGCCAAACCGAAAGTCAGGAAGCCTTGATTATAAATCCTGCCTCTGACACTTTACTAATTATGTGACCCTGACCAAGTCACTTCACCCCAGTTTCTTTATCTGTAAAATGGGAATAATTGTAGCACCCACCTCCTGGGGATGTGGGGACCTTAAAATCTTATTTAATGCTAGGCCTTCTACTCAGTACTATAAAAAACACACTATTCTTTAAACTGTCACAATGCTTCTGGCATTAAAGTGAATTCTTTCCCTGTGAAAGATCTCAAGATTGGATAGAAATAAAGCGGTCTCTAAGTCAAAAATCTGTCAAACATTCTCAAGAAGGGATTGTTCTTTTTAAGCTCTCCTAGGTTTCGCAGGCAAAAAATGAGTTCCTTTTTCTGTTTAATTAATTTGTTTTTAAAATACGACACACAGAGCAGAAGATCTAACTAGCTTGACAGTTGTAATTGATTTAATAGAAATTTTTTTTTGCTTCAAAAATGGTAATTCATTTTTCTCACCTTTATAAAAAATATTAGACTATATGGTGGTATCATTGAATACATTGAGCAATGATGATCCCAAGCTGTTAATGTTTAGGAGTATATCTACTAACTCAAGCAATCAATAAACATTTATTAAGCACCTACTATGTGCTGAGCGCTGTATTAAGTGCTGGGGATACAAAAGACAGTTCCTGTCCTCAAGGAGCTTACAATTTAATGGGGAGGACAACATGCAAACATATATAAAATCAAGTTCTAGACGGGATTAACAGGAAATAATGACCAGAGGGAGGGCATTGAAATTAAGAGAAGTTGAGGAAGGCTTCATGTAGAAGGGGTTTTTAACTGGGACTTAAAGAAAGCCAGAGGGGTCAGTAGGTGGAGATGAGGAGTAAAGAACATTCCAGGCATGGAGAACAGCCAGAGAAAATGCCCAGAGCTGAAAGATGGAGTGTCTGGTTCCTGGAACAACCAGGATACCGGTGTCAAAGGATCCAAGAGGATGTGGAGAGGGGTAAGGTGTAAGAAGGCTGGCTGGCTTGGGATGCCAAACACAGAGTATTTTGTATTTGTCCCTGGAGATAGTGGGGAGCCGCTGCAGTTTATTGAGTAAGGGAGCGGCTTGGTCATTCCTGCATTTTGGCTGAATGAGGATGCATTGAAGAAGGAAAGAAGCTTGAGGCAGGCAAAGCCCCCCTCAGCTATTGCACTAATCCAGGTGTGAGGTGGCCAGGGCCTGGACCAGGGGAGGGGCAGCGTCAGAGGAGAGATGGCAGAGTATTCGAGAGATGCTGCAAAGGCGGCATTGACAGACCTTGACAACAGCTTGGATGTGGGGGCGAGAGAGAGACTGAGGGGTCCAGGATGACTCCCGGGTTGTGAGTCTGGGGAACTGGGAGGAGGGTGCTGCCCTCTCCAGTAATAGGGAAGGTAGGAGGGGGGAGTGGTTAGGGGAAAGATTAATTCTGCTTTGGACATATTAAGTTTAAGATGTCTCCTAGACATCTTAGCTCAAGATGTCTGAAAGGCAGTTGGAGATGTGAGATAGGAGGTCAGTGGAGAGATTGAAGCAGCTCATCAGCATAGAGATGGTCATTAAATCCATGGGAGCTGATGAGATCATCCAGTGAAGTAGCATAGGGGGAGAAGAGAAGAGGGCCCAGGATGGAGCACTGGTAAAGAGCATGATCTGGAGAAGGCTCCAGCAAAGAAGACAGAGAAGCAGCATTCAGATAGGTGGGAGGAGAACCAGGGGGAGAGAGAGAGAGAGAGAGAGAGAGAGAGAGAGAGAGAGAGAGAGAGAGAGAGAGAGAGGGACAGAGGGGGAGGGGAGAGGAGAGAGAAGGAAAAGAGAGAGGAGAGAGAAGAGAGAAAGGTGAGAGAAAGAAGGGAGAGATAGAGAGAGAGGTGGAGGGGAGAGAAGAGAGAGGGAAAGGAGAGAGAGGAGAGAGAAGAGAGAAAGGGAGAAAGAGAAAGGGGAGAGAAAGAAGGGGGGGGAGAGAGAGGTGGAGGGTAAAGTCAGTCAGCCAGTCAGTCACCAAACATTTATTAAGAGTTCAGTATGCGCCAGGTACCGTGCTAAGCTCCGCAGATACAATGAAAGACAGAAGACATCCCTGTTCTCAATGCACTTACAGTCTGATGGGGGAGACTGCATGCAAGTAACCGTGTATGTACAGATATTTACAGTGTAAATGGGAAGTAATGTTGGGGGTGGGAGGTTTGGGAAGACCAGGAAGGACCAGGAAAGGCCTCCTCTAGGAGATGTCTTGAAAGAAGCCAAGTCAGAGATGAGGGGAGAGAACGTCTCAGGCATCTGGGACAGCTGTCAAAAAGGCAGGAAGGTGTGAGACCGAGGGTAGTGTGTGCTGAACCTTAAGGAAGCCAGTGTCTGGATTAGAATATGTGGGGGGTGGGAGAGAAGGGGAAGAAAGGAAGGATGAGGCCAAGTTGTGAAGGGCTTTGAATGCCAGGGGCTATTATTTTTGTTTCTGGAAGTAATAGGGAGCCACTGGAGTTATTGAGGGGGATAGGTGTGACACAGGCCCATCTGGACTTTAGGAAAATTATTTTGGCAGCTGAGTGGAGGATTCCCTTAGGCACCTTCCTGCTCATTCTTTCATTTATTCTTACATTCATTTACTCAATCAAATGCTGATTAGGTTCCTACTGTGTCCTAAAAATGGTGCTGGCTGCAAGGAAGGTACAAAGTTTGGATAAGACTGGGTCCTGTCCCTGTCCTCATGGAGCTTCCAGTCTAGGGCAGGGATTCGAAACTTTCTGTCCTGACATCTTTGGCAGTCCAGTGAGGTCTATGGACTCCTTCACATTTTATTTTGTTGCCTATATTATGGTAAATTTCAGTGAGAAGTCTTTTTATTTCCCTCATTCAAGCTCATGGACCCCTTGGAATCTATGGTTTGTAGACTCAGGTTAAGAGCCCCTAGCTGCTCCTAGGACCTTGAATTAAATTTGCATTCAAGGTTCTCGTATTTGGTCATTTGCAGTCATGTCTGACTCTTCATGACCCCATTTGGGGTTTTCTTAGCGGAGATACCGGAGTAGTTTGCCATTTCCTTCTCCAGCTCATTTTACAGATGAGGAAACTGAGGCAAACAGAGTTAAATGACTTGCCTAGGGTCACACAATATTTGTTGTTGAATCATTTCAGTCATGTCCAACTCTCAGTGACTTGCCCAGGGTCACACAGCTAGTAAATGTCTGAGGCTGGATTTGAACTCAGAAAGATGAGTCTTCCTGACCTCAGGCCTGGCTCTCTGTCCACTGCACCTTCTAGCTGCCCATTTCACACATAGTAAGCATTAATGGAAGCTAGGTGACTCAGCACTAGGCCTGGAGGCAAGAAGACCAGAGTTCAAATCTGTCATACCTTTTTTTTTTTGTGAGGCAATTGGGGTTAAATGACTTGCCCAGGGTCACATAGCTAGTTGAATGTTAAGTGTCTGAGGCCAGATTTGAACTCAGGTCTTTCTGACTCCAAGGCTGGAGCTCTATCCACTGGGCCACCTAGCTGCCCCCCAGAGTTCAAATCTGGCCTCAGACTCTTACTAGTTGTGTGACCCTGGGCAAGTCACTGAACCCTGTTGGCCTCAGTTTCCTCATCTGTAAAATGAGCTGGAGGAGGAAATGGCAAACCACTCCAGTATCTCTGCCAAGAAAACCCATTGGATAATATAATCTAGAGGGTCGCGAAGAGTCAGACACGACTGAACAATAACAGCACTTAATAACTGCTTTGTTAATTTGTTTTTTCCTTCTTTCTTCATGTCTCAAGTTCTGGGTTCAGTTTGGAGTGCCACTGTTTGGTTGCTGTTCAGTGGTTTCAGTCATGTTCTCCTGATCCCATTTGGGAGGAGGTCGCAAAGCAGCCAGTTTTGGTTGGATGTCAGCAGGATTCCCCTCCCATGTAGAGCTGTCCCAAAGTGGAAGGGGATGCCTAGGGAGGGAGTGGGCTCCCCCACGCCTGGATGCCCGCTTTTCTGGGGTATGAGGGTTGGTTTGGCCTCCTGAGGTTCCCCCCAGCTCCGAGATGCTGAGTGTCTGCAATTCTCTTCTCCCAGACGGCCCTCAATATGATCACCTGCTGCCTCGCAGCTGACCTGATATCAGATGGGATCCTCTGCATGTCCCTGGAACCAGGCTGGGTCAAGACGGACATGGGGGGGAGCAAGGTGAGTGACCACCGCATCTCACACCCAGTGGATTTAGGCAGGGAGAGCTCAGCCCTATCATTTCCCCCCATCCTATCTACCCAGGGTCTCTGACAGCCAGTACTGCTGTTCATCACCAATTGCCTGGTCCAGAGGTCTACGCCTTTGGGCTTTGCTTTGGGAATTCCATGAAGAGCATAGCATCTCCAGAGGCATTTGCTGCTGGCAGCTCCCACCTCCCAGGCTCCATCCTGGGAACCTCTGCTTCCAACACGTGGCTGAGCTTGATCTGACCTCTTTGTCTCAGCCTGATGTCTTTGCAGCTGGTGGGTGCTGAGTCTGAGATGGAGAGAGCTGGGGGGCAGGGCAGTGGCAAGACATATAGAGGCTTAAAGAGCCATCACTTTGCCCTGTGAAGATGATTTGGGTAAATTATCTACTGTAGACTGGCTAGGAAATGAGGATGGGGAGTTAGGGAGCAGGAAGCTAAGGGTGGAAGGAGCAGGAGACATGAGAGGACCAGAGATTTGACCTTGGCCCTGCCATTGTTAAATGCTTTGAATGAAGGCATAAATCATATCCATGTCACACTCACAGATGACATAAGATCATAGCACCCTAAGTGGGGAGTTGGAAAGCTCCACAAAGGCCATCTGATCCAACCTCTTCATTTTACTGATGGGGAAACTGAGGCCAAAAGAGGGAAATGACTTTCCCAAGGGGATGAAGCTGAGTGTTTAAGCTAACATGTTGGAGGAGGAAGTCTGGATCTAAAAATAATTCAACAGGCTAGAAGGATGGGTCAAATCTAAGAAGATCCCGTTTCATAGAGATGAAAAGTAGTACTTGGATTAGGAAAAAAAAATCTGCCACCCAAGTACAAGATAGTGAGACCAAGATAGAGTCCAAAGGTGGGGACCCTGCAGCCTTGAGGGAACCACGTGGCCTTCTAGATCCTTAAGTGCGGCCTCTTGACTTTTTTGAAATTTGAAATTTGTTCTGTAAAATTTGGATTCAGTTCCCCACCCCTTAATAAGTTCTTGGGAAAAAGAATGGGAGTAGGAGGGAGAGACCCCAGACAAGGTATTGAACCACTCAATGCTCCAGGAAACTCTTAAGATTGTGAGCTGCAGAACAGTTATTGATCTGAACTGATAAATCAGGAGTTAACTTTTTCTCCTCATGGACCCCTTGGGCAGTCTGGTGAAGCCTTTGGACCCCTTCCCAGAACTATGTTTTAAAATGCATAGAATTAAATACATAGGATTACAAAGGAGGCCAATTATATTAAAATAGGGTTTTCAGTTTTGTTTGGTTTTTTTAAGTGTTCATGGACCATTGGTAAAGAGAGAATTTCCTCACCTGGGAGCTCCCGACTCTGATGAAATCACAGGTCTGGGCATACACTCACAGACTCAATATAAGTTAACTGTGCAGTATGGAACCCGAGGAAATTGATGGGATTTTAAGAGAGATAGTGTGGGGGCAGCTCGGTGGTGCAGTAGATAGAGCACTGGCCCTGGATTCAGGAAGACCTGAGTTCAAATCTGGCCTCAGACACATAACACTTACTAGCTGTGTGATCCTGGGCAAGTCACTGAGCCCCATTACCTAACAAAAAAAAAAAAAAGAGAGAGAGAGGTAGTGTGACCAGAACGAGGCAGGGGATGAGAGTCTCTCTATTCTCTGTCCTGCTCAGACCACATCCAAAATCTGGTGGCCAATTTGGGGAACCACCTTTTAGTGAAGCCACTGAGAGTCTTGCTCCATGAATGGTGTCCTCTGAGGTCTCATTGGGCACTATGTCACCATGGAGGTGACTCCGGGGTCTCCAATTTTCCACCAGTGCGTTAGAAGCTCCAGTGGGTCCTACCTGGCTAGAAATCTTTGAGTATGGTCCCTGTGACAGATTGTGTCTGCTGTCCGAGCACCAGCCTGGCTGTATGGGGAGAAACTCAACATCACACGTATAGACTGATCACTAGGTGTTGAATTCTGTGGCTATAGCAACCCATGAACCTAAGGAAAATGCAAAAAGGCCCTCCATCCTGGGTGGCCTCCTGCAGGCATGATTGTGAAGCGAAGGGGACAGAGGAATTCATCTATAAACCATTAACTACCGAGGTTCAAACATAAACCAACAAGAGATGCACCTTTGTCGTTCGGTCGTTCCAGTCATGTCTGACTCTTTCTGACCCCATAGCAAGAGGGAGGTCCATTCTCCCCTGTCCTAGCTGGGTCTCCAAGGGGAGAAGTAGACTCCTAATTTAGCTCCACTCCTACATATGGTTGGTGCCACCCAGTGCACTCCCAGACGAGGCACGACTGCCCGCTGATTTCCCATGTCTGCTTTGGCTGACCTGGGTCCAGAAAGGTGCTCCCAAAGGTCATGCCTTGTTCATGGGTATGGGGCCAACTGGGCTGACCTCAAAATCCATCAGTATTCAAGCCTTTGGGACTCTGTCCCCTCTGAGGCCATGGAGCTCTAAGAAATGGGCCACTGTCCCGTTTGTTCTTTCATGTTTTAGGTGAAGGGAGTGGAGTCTCCAACCTTCTGAGTTTTGAAAGGTCAGGAGAGCCATAAGCCACAAGAAGAGTGGAATACTATCTTCCCCATATAATCAGTATTTCAAGGGGTCCAAAGGACAATGGAGGGCTGAATGGGGCAGTGGATAAAGTGTTGGACTTGGGGTTGGGAAGACCTGAGTTCAAATTCTGCCTCAGGCACTAACTCGCTGGGTCAAATCAGTTTCCTCATCTGTAAAATGGGGATAATAACAGCACCATCCTCATAGGATGAGATAATGTGTAGAAATAGAAATTTAGTTATTATTACTTATCATTTGTTATTAATAAGTAGAAGCAGGTTGTGGACTATGACCAGAAATGACTTGTGTGCAGAGCGGTAGGAAAGGTCTCATCCGGGAAATGTGTGAGCTGGTCAGACAATGAGAACGAGGGGCTCCTGGGTGGGCGGTCCACATGCTCTCCTGGTACCCTGAACACGTTAAAAGGAGAAAGGAGGAGGGACCTAAGGGTGGACGGACTGATTGGGAAGTATGGAGGAAGAGTCAGGCTTTTGCCTTTATTGGGGTTCAGAAGCAAGGCCCTTTGGTGGTAGAAGCTTTGTGGGGCTTGGTGGCCCTGCAGTAGTTAGGCTCTGATGAGAGTCCACCCACAGACAGTGGGTTTACATAATTACACCAAACTTGTGTTATGACCTGGAGCCTCCCCTCTGGTTTTAAATGGATGAGGTTCAATTTTAGAGCCTTCCCCTAAATCATTTTTCCTTTGATGACTCGTGCCCTGACTCTGGATTTTTCCTGATTATATCAGAATTTGGCACCTGCTGCTTCTCTCCAGAGACTCCCTTTGAAGCAGTAGAATATAGCTCATGCCTGCATAAAAGATCTAACTTTGGGAGTTCAAATCCAGCTTCAGACACTTAGTAGCTGTGTGACCCTGGGCAAGTCACTTAACCTTGTTTGCTTCAGTTTCCTCCAGCACCTTTGCCAAGAAAACCCTCGACGGGGTCACAAAGAGTTGGATACAACTGAACAACAACAATAACAACATTTTCATTGTTATTTCCTTCTGGCTCTTCCCAGGCTCCCCTGCAATTAAAGGAGATCATCCCCGGGATTCTCAATGTCTTGGCCAATGTCAGAGAAAAGGACCATGGGGCCTTCCTGAACTGGAAAGGAGAGGTGGTCCCCTGGTAGTACTGGCTGCCCCCACCCTGCTGGGGGCCCCATTAATCCTTTGGCCCCACCCACCCCCTTACCCACTGAATCCCACAACTCCATGGAGTCATTCACTCCCCAGAGCCTTCCACTCCCTGGCTCCATCTTTATCTTAGCCCCCTCACTCACTCTCTCATCCCCCAGGCCCTAGTGTTCCCCCTGCCCCCGTCCCCCCCATACATATCCCATCAACCTCTGGGTTTAGGGTACTTGAGAGACCCTTATTAAAAAAAAAAAAGGAAATGTGTTGTTCGTTTTTTTCCGGTACAAATTTGAACTCTGAGTCAGTTTTTTCAATATTTAAAGTTGCAAGAAAGTTAATAGAAGGTAATCTTGTGAAGCAGGTGTGGGCCTAGCCTGGTGCTACCTCTTCTGCCCTGTACAAGCCAGGTGGAGAGAATGCTAGACTTGGAGTCAGGAAGAACACTTTACTAATTGCAGGTTCCTTAAGCGCTCTCACTCTCTCAGTTTCCTCATCTGTAAAATGGGAATAGCAGCAGTACTTGCCTGATAGAATTGCTGTGAAGCATATGTAATGCTATATTTTGACATGGCCCAAAAAAATCATTGGAAGGGGGTGGGTTTTGGCTCTAGGGCCTCTGCCCTGGACTGAGGCTGTTTTCTAGCCTCCTTCTCTTAATATTGGATTTTCTTGGGAATTCAGAACCGCACCCAGGGGTTGCTGAATTGAGGCTGGGCTTGCCTCCCAGGACTGATCTGTCTAGGCCTGTGACCCTCTCCAAGTTCCAAAAGCAATCATTTACAATGATCATGACTGCTCCCTCCCCCTATCACAAAAAGTCCCAGGAGGGAAGATGGACTGGCTTGTTCCTCTAATACAGAGGAGGAAACTGAGGCACATACAGGATGTTAGTGGTGGGGCTTCTGGTTTGCAGACCATGGCTTTCTTCTCTGTACCAGGGGCTCCTTACATAAATCTTGGAGGGCTTTGGGCCTTGTCTCTAAGGTCCAGTTATTAACAACTAGTCCCTATTCTCCTTCCAACCAACATTACTCAGAGGTTTCCCCTTGCCCTAGTATACCCCCTTCAGGTCCTTGCTTCAGCCTCAAAGTGAGCCCCAAGTTGGACGCTAACCCTGGGATCATCCCTGACCTCAGTCCCCAAGCAAGCTCTGACCCTGGACCCTGATCCTAGCCTGAGCCTCAATCTTTGTCCCATACTGGGTCATGGACCTCAGCCTGGACCTAAGCCTTGACTCCAGACTGGAGACTGGGGTCAGACTGGACCCTGGCCCAGGGTCCTTGACCTTGGCCCCAGGTCTAGCCTAACTAAGCCTTAACCTTAGCATAATCCCTGATGCAGCCACAGACAGACAGCTTTGGCCCCAGTCATGGTCTGAATCATGACTTGGACCCCACACTAAACCCTGCCACCATCTTAACTCTGAGCTTCTACCTTGGCTGCGGGCTGACCCTGTGCCCTGACCCCAGATCTTGTGTGAGATTTTCCTGCGGTCACAGGCTGAGTTCTGACCCTGACACTGTCCTCCAAACCAGCCCCAGCCTGAACCTTGACCTCAGCCCCCACCAGAGCCTATAACCAGACCCCCAGACTCAGCCATGAGCTTAAGTCCAATCCTAGACTGAGTCCTGACCCAAGCCCTAGACTGACTTGACACTGAAAACTGACCTCAGTGCCCCACTGATCCTGACCTGGCCGTTAACTGAGCACAGCTTGACCCTGACCTAGGCTGACGCTGAACTCTGGAGCTATCCCTACACTCAGTCCTGATTTTGACTGGATATGAGCCAGGCAGCAGAGTTCTGGGCAGCACCTGCTGCGTGTCTCCAGGCCCTGCCGCAGGGAGGCGCTCTGCTGGGTCTCCCAGTTGGCCTCTGGGAGCTCCGCGTGATGTTTCTCCGGGTCTGGCCGCGAGGGGCGCTGCGGGGCTTCTCTTCTGGGTTTCTCTAGGCCTGGCCGCGCGAGGGCGCTGCGCCATCGGGGCGGCTCCTGGGAACCTTTGTGCTGCGGAACCTTTGGGCCGCAGCTTCCGGCGGGCCTGTTTCTCCGAGGAACCCGGAAGTGCCTTGGAAGAGGCGGCAGGATGGTAAGTTTGGGGAGAGTGTCCGGCGGTCTGAGCCCAGAGGGGTTGTTGGGAGCGGGGAGTCACAACTCTGAGGCGGGGGCTGGAGGCGGGAGGGGCAGGTTTAAGAAAGAGGGGGCGGCCTGCGGCTGGGGAGGGGCTCTAGGGGTGGGGCGGCGGCGTTTTGGAGGGGTCCCCTCCCCTCCCTCTTCCCCCCTCCCTCTCCCACCCTCCTCTCATCCCTCTTCCTCAGCCTGCCCAGATTGGGGGGGGGGGCAGAAGAAAAACGGTGAGGGTCCTCCTGCCATCCGGGCAGCCTTCGCGGAGGAGGTGGCCATGTGCCTCCCCCCCCAAATAAGGAAAGCCAGGGGATCAGCATGAAAAGACCTTGGAGATCTGGGCTGGGGCTCCCCGCTGGGGCAGGCACGAAGTTTAGACCCCACCCTCCTGTTGTGGGGCTGGGGGAGGGGTAGAGGGGACTACCCAGGCAGCGCCCCCCACTCAGCCCGGAAGATCGTCTTCATCAGTGTTATCCGTCTTTGAAGGGTTGTGGGGAGCCGGACAGCTCTAGTCTGTGTCCTATGAGAATATCTTAATACTAATAATAATAGCCAACATTTATGTAGCACCTGCTGTGTACCGGCACTGTGTTAAAGTGCTTTACAGTCGTTGTCAGAGGTCCACTGAAATGAAGTGACTTGTCCAGGGTGATTCAGCAAAGGAAATGGCTGAGGCTGGATTTGAACTCAAGTCTGTACCTCTGGCGCTCAGTGAGAATGGGTTGGAGGGGTTGGGGATGTTTCACTTGGGTAGAAGCCTGGGAGGAGACTCGAGACCATCGCAGTCCTTCTGCCAGCCTCCAGAGCCCAGAGCCATGGGGAGGAGCTGAGAAGGGGCAGATGAAGCTGACTCCGGGAATGAGCCCGACAGGGTCCTGGAGGTTTCAGGCAGAGGCTGAATCAAGCCCCTAGGGTGGGGGTGAGATCCTTTGGGGGGGTGGGTTGGACAAAGGGCCGGTCCGTTCCGACTCTAACATTACATGATTTGTCCAGAGGCTGCTCTGTTGCCCCAGGGAGCCTTATCCTGGCAGCCTCCTCTGAGGAGGTGCCAGCCTCTGACCTTTGGGGTCACTAGCCTGACTCCTCACCTCACAGAGGCTCTAAGACATTAACTGACTCAGGTACAAGGTCTTATAGGGAATAAGTGTTGGGCAGGATTTGAACCCAGGCCCTCTGGCCCCACCTGCATCCTTCTGTGATCTTTTTCTTGCAGGAAGTGTTTTGAGCTGCCTCAGTGGCACCTGGTACCTCCCCAGAGCTCCTAGAGTTTGTGGATAGAATGAGATAGTGTCTGTAAAGCACTGGGAGGGGCAGTATAAATGGAGGCTGTTGTCATTACCCATGTTTGTGTTGGGTTCCCCAGAGATCCTAGGGATTTTTGTGATTAGGGCCCAGGTCTTATCTATTCGCCCCCCCCCCACTAGATAACTGCTCTGTACAGTTACCCCAGGGCACCTTAATAAAGTTTTGGTGAATGAATAAAGCCTTGTTTTGCAGCCCTCCTGAGGCTCGCCCTAGGAGGACAGACCCAAACACCATGTTTCTGGCTCGAGTGACCTCTCAGCTAACTAGGGCCTTGCCCTGGGCAGGTAAGAGCCTGTTTTGTGGGTGGGCTCGGGCTGCCCCTGGACTGGCTCAGGGAATGGTATCGAAGGTGATGCCCCGCGGCTCCCAAGTCTGCATTGGGTCTGCCCCTCACTGGCCAAGGAGAAGACCCTCTGGTCAGCTTAGATGACCCGCGGGTGGAGGGATGCAGGAGGAGGCTGCTGTTTCCTGTTCCGTGTTGCTGTGGGTTGGCCTTGGGGGCCCATCTCTGTGCAAGGCTTCACTCTGCATTGTGTGCTCAAGGAAGATGAACTTTTGGGAGGGCAAATAGTCTGCCAGCCCCGCCCTCCCGGGCCCCAGTGTTATCTCTCCTTTCCAGCCCCAGCCTGGAGGCTTGGGACAGATCTGCCTCTTGGGCTTCAGCAGTGGGTAGACCCCCTAGACAGTCATCCTCTACAATGTGCCCCTGGCCTGGTAGATGCTGAGCCCACGAAGGCCTTTGGAAAGTAGCCCTGAATCCCCTGGTCACTGCCTGGGCCTTCCCTTCCACTGTGATCGGGCTCTCCTTCCTTGCAGTCCGAGATCTGTCGAAGCCGGGCCCCACGAGGCCCCCTCAGGTCTTTGTGGCCAAGCGTTGCTGTTACACTACCTGGCCAGCAGGCAGGAACGGGCCAGCCTCCCAGCCCCAGGCCCGCAGAGATCCAGAGCTGGAGGAGATGCTGGTTCCCAGGAAGATGTCCATCAGCCCCCTGGAGAGCTGGCTCACCGTTCGATACTTGCTCCCCAAGCCTGAGGTCCCCGTCCCTGGTCCCAGACCTGGAGCCGTGAGCCTGGCCTTGCTCTATGACTGTCCGCCAAGTGAGGCCAAGAATGGGGAGGAGCTGGGGGAAGGAGGTTCCCGCAGGATCCCCATGGTGCACTGCAAGAACGTGCTGAAGATCCGCCGCCGAAAGATGAACCACCACAAATACCGTAAGCTGGTGAAGAGGACGCGGTTCTTGCGGCGGAAGGTCCGAGAAGGGAGAAGGAAGCGGAAGCAGGTGAGCCCTGGCACCCCCCCAGGCCTTGTCCTCTGTGGGATTGAATGTAGCGGCCCCAGTGTGGCCTTGGCCAAGTGGGTGGGCCTCGCTTTCCCGTCTGTGAAACAGCAGTTTCCAATTAGGTGATCTCTGATGCCCTTTGTAGCCCTGCCTCTTTCTGCCTCCATTACCCTGGCTGCCTCTCCTTGCGATGCCCCTGGAGGTTGGGCCTTCCCACTCCTGGACCAGTGTCCCCCGTAAGGGCCCCGACACCGTCCGAGGGAGGCCGTCTGCAGCTGCTTCTGTTTTTGTCTGTGATCTCCTCCCCTGGGGTTTCGGGGCAGCAGGAGAGTTTGTGGGGTTTGGGGGGATGTGCTGCAGCTCTGCCCTCACTCACCCTTCTCTCCTCTTGCTCCCCTCACAGATTAGGTTTGAGAAGGACCTGAAGCGTTTGTGGAAGAAAGCGGGCTTGAAGCAGGCCCCTGAGGGCTGGCAGCCCCCCAAGATCTATGTGAAGAGCACCTGAGCCCCTCCCGAGTGTGTCTGCTGCATCGTTTTAATAAATGTTGTAGAACCAGCATCCACACCTCCCCCCAGTGCCTTTGTCCGTCCTTCCTGGGACAGTGAGGGGAGGAGGGCTTCCTGGAGGTGGGTGGGCCAGGGCTTGTGAGGAGACCCCAGGATTCAGGGTCACGGGGCTTGGTGGTCGGCTCCTGCTATGTCCCTGAAGGGCGGGAGGGGCAGCCCTTCCCCAGCTGCCCCTCACTGAGGACTGGCAGGGGTCTTAGGGAAGAGGGCATGGAGGGGTTGCAGCAGTGGGGTGATGGGCACTCACACTTTGTCCTCCTGCCCCCGTGACAGTCCCCATTACACACACACACACTCACACACACTCATACACACTCTCACACACACTCTCTCTCTCTCTCTCTCTCACTTGCCAAACATATTTCCATGGGGAACTGAAAATCTCAGAGAGTTGTCTGGGTCACTAAGAGGGGCCTTTTGAGGTTTTGCCACTACCCCGCACATAAGGATCGCTGAGGCCTGCATAGTGACTTAGTTTTAAAATCTACTATTAGCTGTGTTTTATTGCCTTTTTGCTTGTTTTGCTAACTGTTTCCCATTTTCATCTGAATCTGGATCAGCGCCCTCTGGAGCGCTGTGGGCTGCAGGCCACAGGCAGCGGTGGGTCCTGTGTTTGACCCCTCTAATCTCCAGCCTCATCATGTGATGGTGAGCTCGGACCCTCACTCATGCAGTCGGAGGATCTGAGAGCTGACAGGGATCTCTGCAGCTCTCGGCCCAGTCTGCACCCAAGGGAATCTTCACGGTGACCACCTGTCAGGTGGGCCACCTGTCACTTCTTGACCTTCAAGGAGGACGTCCCAAAGCTGCCTGTTTGACTTTTGGACGCTCGTTCAAAATCAGGAGCCTTTTTTCCTTAAATCAAATCTAAGTTTCCCTCGTATCTCCTGAGTCTTTTCCAAGCTAAACTTCATTTCCTTCGGCTGAAGCTCCTCTGACATCTCCCCAGGTCGTTCGTCGTCCTCTGGACGCTCGGGCTCGTTGGTGCCCTTAGATCCTCTGAATAATTGCAGCGATAGCTCCTGCTCTGGTTTTCTTCCGCAGTGAAGCACCCAGCGGCCCTCTAGCCGGGATGCCGGCCTAGCGGCGGAAGGGCTGTGCAGTTCCCCGGGTTTCTCGGCTTCCTCGGCCTGTTTGGGAGACTCAGAGGCTGGAGTCGTGCTGATTGTCTAGGACGTACTGGTTTGATAGAAGGTTTTGCCTCTTACCTCTAATTGTGGATTCCTGATAGTTTTCTGATGGGGGGGGGCGGATCACCACTTGATCCTTGCCTTAGACCTGCTGTGTTATAGTGTGTTAGGGCCGCCAGGTGGCGCTGTAGTGCATAGAGCACCCAGCCTGACGTCCCAAAGACGCATTTCAAATCCGGCCTCAGACTCATACTAGCCGTGCGGCCCCGGGCAAGTCACTTCACCCTGTTTGCCTCAGTTTCCTCATCTGTAAAATGAGCTGGGGAAGGAAATGGCAAACCGCCCTAGTTGCTCTGCCAAGAAAACCTCAAATGGGGTCACGAGGCATCAGACATGACTGAACAACAACGAAAATCATGGCACGAGTAGGTGCACAAATGTCTCCCACTGGTCACTTTTGCTCCTGTTGACAGCTTTGGTGATAAGTATACGGCATCAAAAATAAGGGATCACCTCCAGTGTATTAAAATAAGAGCCTTATACTGTGCCTTCAACCCTGATCAGTCAACTAACATTTATTAAGCACTTTCCAGGCACAAAGAGTCCTTGATCTCAAGAACCTCGAAGTCTAATGGATGACCCCTGACAATCCTAGAATTGAGGAGTAAACCCTTGGAAAGGCCAGAATCTGCCCTTTGCTGGCAGTATTAGGAGCACTAGGGGTTAAAGTCAACCATCTAAGAGGAGATGACGGAGAAACAGCTGGATCTTTCTTCTCAGAGGCTCATGTGGTCTTCCCTATTGAGTTGGTGGCTTTTGTTAGACACAGAGACCCAGCAAAGGAAGTCCGGTGTTGATGTGCTGAGGAGTAGAAGTGGGAGAGATGAAGGTTCTACTGCCCTCTTAAATCAAATGGGGCATTAGGAATATACTTTCTGTTCCCTGGCTCCCATATCTGGAAAATAATACCCGGCCCTCAGAACCAATGTGCAGTGACCTCCGTGGTCAGTTGGCAAGACTGAAGCCCAGGTCAGCTGGTGCCTGGGTCTCTGCCATTTGGTCCCTCAGTCTGAGCAGGGGCGGGGTGTCTTCCTGCCCAAAGAGACAGAAAGAACCAGAACACTGGCCCCATCCAACAGCTTCAGGGAGCTGTCTTATGAGATGGCAGATTCTCAGTCACTCCCCATGGCCAGGATGGCTGCTCTTGGGGTTGGGAATTTGCTGTGAGTGCAAAGGCTGCAGGTTTGGGACCGGGGAACTGAGGAGAGGAAGGCTCTTGACTTCATGGGCTATTTCCTCATGGCCGTCACAAGGTGGCAGTAGGCCTGCATCCTTCATCCATCTGGACCCTACCATGAAGAGCTGACAAAAGATGGAAATGCCAGTGAAGGCAGAGCCCCATCCTATTCTTCCAAGGCTGTCCCACCAGGGTCCAGGGGCCCCAGTCAGACTTCCCCTACTGCTCTAGGTGCCGCACAGAATGTCGGAAATGGGAGACACATTCACTTAGAGACATTGTGGGGCAAATGTCAGTGGTCCTAAAGTATTTCATGTGTTGGAGGGACAATCCTTAATCTGCTCAGCCTGAGGGCAGAACCAGGAGCGATGGGGGGAGTGGCAAAGGGGCAGATTAAAGCTTCCTGATATCGAAAGAAGGGATGGGCTACCTCCAGACTTCTCTTGTCTGGGATATTCAGAGTAGATTCCCTTTTAGATATGTTTCACCAGGCCTTTGATCCTGGGGGCTCAACTCCAACTCATTGAGATCATTTGGACCTTAGAGAACAGAGTGGGAAGGTCCCTGGAGCGCTTCGGGTTTCCAGCAAGGGAATGAGGGTTACCCACACTGTCACATGACAAAGCAGGGGACCTGGACCTCCGTCTCCCCAGGCTGAGGTTCTCTTTCTCACTGCCCCTCTCTTTAGCCCCAGGAAAGTTTTATGTTGGTATCTGCCCTCGGGGCACACTTGCTGCTTAAAGGGGCTCCGTGTGAAATCCTTCTTCCCTGGGGACGGCCACTTTCTGGTTCACAGGATCTCTCTTAAGATTTTCACCAAAAAAGCTGCAGAAACGTGGCCCATGTGACCTTCCCCTGTTCTTAGCACACACAGTGTAGCCATCTACCTAATGTGACTTGGCGTCCTTCCTTTCTAACAGTAATTTCAAAGCTTTATTGTTGTTGTCTGTCCTTCATTCTGGAAGAGGACCATGATATCAGGGAGGTGATGCCATGACATACAAGTGAATTGAATTTCAGTGAGGCAGGGCTGTGCAAGGTCACCAGCCTCACTTTCTCCTCCAGAGCCGTCTGGGTCCAGTGGCCAGATGTAGATCAGGACAGAGATATCAGATCTTTAGCTGAATAAGTGAATGCATAGGTGTATGAACGAACAGGAAGTAGTTAAAGCACTGGTTATGCACTTCAGGCTAGGCACAATAATAGGCCAGGCCCTCAAGAAGCTTCCTTCTAATGGGTCTGTGGTTTTTGGTGTGATCTCACTAAAAATGAGGGGCAGCCTATGATTCAGTAAGACCTGAGTTCAAATTCCGTGTCGGTCACACCTCGATTGTGAGATCTTGGGCAATCTTTCAGTGATTGGGGAGCTCTGTTACCTTTAAGGCGCAGAGCAGGCAAAGGTTCATCCACATTAGTAGAGGGAGCCTCCTCACTTGGATTTCTCTAACCAGTGAAATCACAGGACTAAACCAGGAGAAAAAAACAACCACCACCATGTTTAAAAACAAAAATAAGTCTTCTTACCTCTTTTAACTTGAAGTATATATTCATAGGACCCCTTCTCCCTTTTTTTTGGTGAGGCAATCAGATTTAAGTGACCAGGGTCACATAACTAGTAAGTGTCAAGTGTCAGAGGCTAGATTTGAACTCAGCTCCTCTTGACTCCAGGGCTGGTGCTATATCCGTTGTACTACCTAGCTGCTCCTACCCCTTCTCATTTTACAGATGAAGGACCTGAGGGCTAGGGAGTTTAAGTAATACAAGGTCAATAGTTAAATGTCAAATGGTAGAATTCAAATCCAGGTCCTCAGATTCCAGAGGCAGTGGTCTTGGGGGCAGCTAGAGGGCGCAGTGGATAGAGCATGGGGCCTGGAGTTAGGAAGACCTGAATTCAAATTCTCCATCTGACACATAGCTGTGTAACTCTGGCAAATCATTTAACTTATGTTTGCCTTAGTTTGCTCAACTGTAAAATGGGGATAATAATAGCACCTACATCCCAGGCTTGTTGTAAGATCAAATAAGATAATATTTATAAAGTGCTTAGCACAGTACATGGCACATAGGAAGTACTTCGTAAATATTAGCTATTGTTATTATCATCATTATCTTAAGTCAGCGCTGGATTTGAAGTCAGAAGATAGAATTTAGTTCAATAAGCATTCGTTAAGCATCTAGTCTGTACAAATCATTCTGCCAGGTGCCGAGGAAACAGTAAAATGGACAAAACCTCGCTGTCGAGGACCTTGCATTCTACTTGGAAGCGGGTATACAAAAACTATACATATAAATACAAAGAAGAATGAACAGGGACAAAGAATAAATAAGGAAATATTAAGAGAGAGAAAATATTCAGTGGAAGTATCAGGGCAGGCATTTTGGAAGAGATGGCGTCCGAACCAGGCCTTGAAGAAAGAGAAGAATTCGGAAAGGTTTTTAGATTCTCAGACTTAGAGCTGGGATCTGAGAAGTCCATCAAGTACAACCTTCTCATTTTACAGTTGAGGAATCTGAGACCCGTACTGAAGCTGTGACTTGCCCAAGGTCATACAGCTAGTAAGTATCTGAGTTAGGATTTGAACCCAAGTCTTCCTAAGTCCACGTCCAGTGTCCTATCCACCATGT